AGCTGCTTCCCTGACACACTGGAAACTCCACCCCCTTCGCTGCACTCTGGTGGGGAGGCTGGTCCTGACGCCCAGCTGCCACTTTGGGATCCTCCGCTGGCCCCCTGCTCCTGACACGTCCCCCCGGGGCTCCCCTGGCCTTGACCACCGGCGCCCCCTTCTGGGAATCCTCTGATTCGCTGGAAAGACTCATGGAATCTCTTGAGTCATTGTCATCCTCTTCCTCGCTGGCTTGGGATTCATCCCCATCGCTCTCCATCTCCTGCCTACCCTGTGCCTCTCTCCCTGAACCCCTGACAGGTAGGTAATGGTATCCCTGTTGCAGGAGGAAGGGGAAATGTTGCTGCTTTTTGTCATCTTCCTTTTTCTTATGCAAAGCAAGAAGCAGCACCATAAGCCCTTGAGTTGTACAAGAGTAAGTAATCTGCCAATATGGAAACTTTAAAAAAACAACAACCATAAAGGTGATTAAAAAATCAGGCAAGTGAGGTGTGTGTGTTTGCAGGAGTTGTTTCACTCATCACGGAGGATGTCCAGAAGAAGCTATCCAAAATTCTACACGGCAAGGAGAACAATGTATGCCCAAAGATGAAGGAAGACTCGCTGCCAGGGAAACATGATTCCACTACAATAGAAGTGCTAATTGGAGGAAAGCTATCTATATCCCCACATAGAACATGTTAACTTTGCTTTAAAAGAAAGATAATCTGTAGTGGCCTGAAGTTCACAGCAGAGATTTAGATGTGCTAGCTTACACATACAGAATATCTATTCATTCAAAAGAGTTCTAGATCACTTTTCAAACAGAAGGCTTCCCAAAGCAGTGCATAAAAATGTACACAAGCAGAATACAGTCATACCTCGGGTTGTATATGCTTCATGTTGAGCGTGTTCAAGTTGCGCTCCGTGGCAACAGTACGCATTACTTCCGGGTTTCACCGCTCGCACATGCGTAGACGCTCAAAATGACGTCACACGCATGCGCAGAAGCAGCAAAAAGGACGCGCGTGTGCGCAGACGTGCCATCGCTAGTTATGTTTGCTTCTGGATGCGAACGGGGTTCCGGAATGGATCCCGTTCGCATCCCAAGGTACCACTGTATACCATAATACAATTCTCAAACAAAATTTTCCCAAAGAAACAAAAAAACACCGCAAGCCTTTCATTACATTGTATGCACTAAAATGACCACACTAAAAATCCAGATACAGCCATAGACAAGCCATTAAAAACTGCTATAATCATATGTGGATGCGTGGAGGCTGCCTCACTTCACATGGAGTCAAGTTCCACAGCTGCCACTCAGGACAATTGCTGGTTCCTCCTCCTCCTCCCTGAGCTTGGTGGCTGTAGCACTGGTGGGAAACAGAGGGACTGTCCCTGAAAAATGGGGGCCTCTTCTGGAGCAATCCTGCTTTCCTCAGTGGAGTTTCTTCCAGCCTAGCAGAAGCCAACTTGACTTTTTAATCTTCCATGTGCATAGAAAGTCTGGTGTGGAGCTGCTTTGAGACACACAAACCCCCTTCCTCTGCTGCATGCAGGGCTGGACAATGTTGTTGTTGTTTAGTCGCTTAGTCGTGTCCGCCTCTTCGTGACCCCATGGGCCAGAGCACGCCAGGCATTCCTGTCTTCCACTGCTTCCCGCAGTTTGGTCAAACTCATGCTGGTAGCTTCGAGAACACTATCCAACCATCTCGTCCTCTGTCGTCCCCTTCTCCTTGTGCCCTCCATCTTTCCCAACATCAGGGTCTTTTCCAGGGATTCTTGTCTTCTCATGAGGTGGCCAAAGTATTGGAGCCTCAGCTTCAGGATCTGTCCTTCCAGTGAGCACTCAGAGCTGATTTCCTTCAGAATGGAGAGGTTTGATCTTCTTGCAGTCCATGGGACTCTCAAGAGTCTCCTCCAGCACCATAATTCAAAAGCATCCATTCTTCGGCGATCAGCCTTCTTTATGGTCCAGCTCTCACTTCTATACATCACTACTGGGAAAACCATAGCTTTTACTATACGGACCTTTGTTGGCAAGGTGATGTCTCTACTTTTTAAGATGCTGTCTAGGTTTGTCACTGCACACCTTTAAATCAGCTCTGAGATTGTCCCCAAGGAAAGAATGTGCATTAAATGTGCATGAATCACTGTCAGATGCCAAATCCACAGCAACTCAATTTCTCCAACAAGATGTAGGTTTGTGATAGCTTAGTCAGTATCGCACAAGACTCTGAGAGCCATGAGTTCGAGCATCACTTCGGGCAAAAGATTCAGCCAGTGTTGCAGGGGGTTGGGATAGATGACCCTCATGGTCCCTTCCAACTCTACAGTTCTATGATTCAAAGATAATTTTTTCAAGTAAATTACATAATTGTCTTATTGCACTCATGAAACAGAGGAGGGATAATCTACTCTAAGTGCTTTTCATCTAAACTGGCTCATCTGTATGAGCCCAGCAAACAGCAAAGAATGCCACACAGGTTGCCAACTTCCAGGCCAGCTTGCCACCATTGCTCCCACTTCCCAGTTATTTAACCACCATTTCCACACATTTCAGCCCAGACACTTCAGTCCTCTCTCTCTCTCTCTCTCTCTCCCTCTCTCTGCCTCATGCAGAGAGGTCATGAAGCACCATGGGGTGTGACTTGTGCAAAGCACCACTTGGATGAAGATGGCAAGAGATGAATTTGGGTTGCCATTTGCTTTTGCTCCAGCAGACCTTTTGGCTACAATGCAATCAATGTATCAAAAAGAGGAAATAAGTATTTCAGCAATCTTAAATGTTCAATTTTGTGTTTTGGGCAAATAGCAAATATCCCTAGGGATTGCATCCCAAATAGGCACTAGAAAGCGGGTTGTGAGCGTAACAACTCTTAGCCACTAGTGGATAATCTCATTGCATGAGGAATCCTTCAACTACAGGAGAACCTACTAGAATTCTTCTGCCAAACAACAACTGGCCACTTCTCACCGAGCTAAAGCAAAAGAGCATTTAAGAGCATCATTGTGAAGCAACATTCCACTCTCACTTGTGAGATGTAAAGTGTTAAGTTGTGGGTGAACATATCAGACGACACAGCGATTCTTCAAACAGCTCTTGTTTATTCACAGGCCAGAACAGAACTGAACTGAAGGGTTCAGTCAGCCTGCTTATAGACAGCTCCAGTACAACGTAACTGTAACAACTTTCTAAAACTATCCAATCACTGAACGTCACTTTCGATCCCTTATTTGCATAACTATCTACAGTATCCCCCTGCTGGCCCAGGGTGAGAACTTCAGTACATAACACCAAGCTTCAAGGACCCGTACTTCATAACATTTCCTCCTGCAAATAAAAGGGACCAAGGTGAAAAATGAACTCCTGGGAAAAGAAGTTGACTGGAAAGTAAGGGGGAAAGAGGAGTCAGAGATTAAGGGGAAAGGTAATGACCACAAAGACTTGATAGGGAATTCAAGCTTTGAATGACAGAAAACTCTTCACGATTCAGATTGACAGAGCAGCTAATTCTTTCCTTTATAGTGAGCCCAAGGATGATGCAGACTTTTTATGATTATTTATTGAATTTATATACCACCCTAACGGGAGGTCTCAGGTTGGTTCACAGAACAATTTTTTTTCATTTTAGGCAGATTCTGGCCTAAGGAATGTTAACTGTAAGCTTTGCAAACACATGCTAAAGGACAGTCGTAATTGATGGCCGACAGCAATGTATGCTGAAAATTTAAAGCATGCCACAATAAACACCTGACATGTTTTGAAAAGGGTATAATTAATTAATTAATTAATTAATTAATTGATTGATTGATTGACTGATTAATATAAGGTTTTAAGTTGGAAACCTTCCTTATTGAAAAGTGTCCTATCTTTTCTAAGGATGCCCTATTCTGCTCTGCAACAAGCTAGGAATCAGCTTACATTTGATACAAAAGACCATAGAAACAGTTGGGACCCGAATGTTTGAGATTCAATGCAGGAATCTCCTATATGGCTGATGACCGTCCAATCCCTGCTTTAAAACTTTCAAGGAAGGAGAGTCCATCACCTGCTGAGGGAGACCCCTGAATTATTTCTCTTATTTATTATGATAATTTCTAGATTTGCAGATGTACTGCTGTGGGGATGTGTTGAGGCATTTCGAATTACACACCCTATTGGCAAAAGTTAGCCCCTGGTTGTGATATCAGGTACTTCTTGCATGTAAACAGCTTTGTTGCCGAGCCGTAGGCACAGCCCTGGGCACAGACAGGAGTTAAGCATCTCCTTTTTCTGGCTTGTCCCCTGTGTGCCCTTCAGTCAGTGAGTTTAGGGACTGATCCTACTTCTAGAGTCAAATGTTAGTCTAGTCACCACCGGCACCACCATAGTAACCTAGCTGAAAGCAGTGGGGAAATTGTCATGAACCTTAAACACAGATGGATTCTATTGCATTGGCTTCTAGTCCCTAGGAATTACAGTTTCTGCAGCATAAAAAAGGGCTAACAGATTCGAATTTGCTCACTGAAAAATGCTATGACACTTTAATGCAATAAAGAAAGTCAATATTTTATGGCATTGTACATGACCAGGATATTGTATATCCTAATCACAGAACTGTATTTCATGGTGATGGCATGGAAAGAAAACCTGGTGCTGAAAATCATGTGGATAAGCAGATGATAAAAATTTGAAATGCAAGAGATCCCAAAGCATGCAAACCATTACATGTCATCTGGACTAAAATAGGCTAACATCAATTATAGGGAAAAACCTCACTGTGGATGAGAATGTTTCCTTGCCAAGATCATGCTTGGAATTAAAATATCTCCATGCAGGAATTCCAGCACAAGCCGTCTTGTGAATATTTGACCTTGTCAAGCTATATTTATTTCCACATGTAATCTCAGTAGTAAAGTGGTTGTTATTGTAGCCACCCACCCACCCACCCACGTGACTTTAATTGTATCAAGTAACAATTAGCACCAGATTTAAATACAAGCTATGTCAGAGCCCTAACTAGAATTTAATTGGGCAGCACAAACAGAGTCACACAAACAATAAGACCTCCGTAATCTGCACAACAAGGTTCTGGACTAAAATTAGCTGCAGATTAGCACAATGGAAGAGGTGCCAGGACCTGCTGTAGACAAGCTGCAGATCTTTGAGCCAGGAGGATCCAGATGCAAGCTGAAGACTCGCCATGCCCCTCTGGACAAATACTTTGAGGCTCTGGTCACAGGAAACCTCAAGAAGCTCAAAGCTCTGGTCGATCAGTATTACGAAGATGTCAATGTGGTCTTTGAGATCAGTAAAAATGAGCTGGAATGGCAGGTGAAAAAGAAAGCTGCTTATGGACTGTCAGGTACTCTAGATTTCAAGGACCACTTTCAAACTTAAACAGGTATTATTTACTAATCCAAATTAAGGCAAGTGGTGCTTTTAAAAAAGTGTTCTCTTATTTGTGGCTATCCAGTTGCTCCCAAAGTTTGTGTGCAGGGTTGGTTCCTTCCCTCCCTCTGTCCCTCCCAGCAGCTCTTTCACGTGGGTCAGCAAGGGTCTTTGGCTAGTATCGTAGAGCACTGTCAGCAGTGAACAGGCTTGTGGGCTTGCTATCACCATATGTTTCTAGACCTGGATGGGCTAATGGAAACTGAGCAAGGTGGCAATGGCGATGTGCTAATCTGGTCTAAGGAGCAGGACTGACCCTCTTTGAAGAGGATCCAGATGTGTCCAGTATTGTTAGCATCATAGAAAGTCTCAGCAAGCAGTTCGGGGTTCTTGGGTTGGGATTCCCACTGATGCCACAGACCAAGTGAAAGGGGTTGAGCAGCCCCTCACTTTCCTCCTCCTCAGGTTCGTGCTTACCTTCCAGTCAGCCAGCCGTGCTCCAAGGGAATCCTCCTTGGTCTGATCACCTCGGGCTCATCAGTGCTGTCTCCCAGGTGAGCCCCCCCACCGGCCACATTTCCTGTTTTCTCCCCAGCTCATTCATGGCTGCCATACCTTTCAAAGGTAGGGAGCACAACTCCCTCACCTGGCAATGGAGCCAGTGCTTCTCTCATATCACCTTGGGCAGTGTGTAGGATTGCATCTCTGTAGTCATGTTGAGCAGCTCCTGCTGCAGCCCCTCAGTCCTCTGCTGTCCTTCCAGGCCTCTGCTCCCATCTCTCCCCACATGGTGAAAGGAGAGGTCTATGTGACACAGTCTGGTGCAAAAGCTCTGCACATCGCCCTGCTGTAGGGACTGTTTGGTGATGGTGGGGGCTGCCTGCAGGGGTGGTGGAAGAGGAGCAGGACTGTTTCCCAGTATAGGCAGAGCTTTCTCCCCTCCTGCACATCTCCTCTTTTTAACCTTTCTGCCTGCTGTTCTGTGTGGGGTGCTCACAGGTAAAGGTGCTGCTGAATGTTCTCTGTGAACCTTGGTCATGCAGTCTCATCCAGCATCCTTACTGCTGATCTCTCCCTGGCTGCCTTGTGTATAATGCAAGGAACAGAAAAGAATGAACCTTCTTGCCTCCTGCTAAGGCCATCTCTGACTTATGTTTGTTTGCTCAGTAGGTCAGGCAGAGTCTTCTTGGAGTCCCTGTATTTGCTTGAACAGCTGCAGAAGCAGGTCTCCAGCTCTGCTATGTGATAGCAATGTAGAAAATATAAATATCCTGTTAGCCAGGCAGAATGAAATAGTGTTCCTAATTTATTTGATTGGCTGGAATGGTTTAGCAAGGAAAAACTTCTTGATAGATGGTGGGATTACCAAATATAGAAATCTCTACACAAAGCTTTTTATTTGGTCTGTTTGTGTATCATGATTCATCCTAGGGCTGAGCCAAAACAGGCAACTTCTTTCCTCCAAATTCTTGATCAGTATTGAAAGATATCCATCAGTAGTTTTCAGTTTTTAACGCTGACCCTAATTGGCAAGGATTGCCCACATGATTTATACAGGAAGCTTTGCCCTCATTCTAAATAGGCTTCACCTGCCCTTAGTGATATCAGAATATAGTTATATTGGTTCATTTGAGGAGGGGGAGTGGCTGTCATCCGTAGTGAACAGCCATGAAAGGGGTAAAATTAAGGGGTTTAGAGGGAACCCCACAAAATAATTGCTTTAAAACTGAAAAGTAAACCTGTAGAACCAAAAATGAAAAAGGGGAGAAAACAGAAAAGAATAAGATTTGCACAAAAGATCTCTCCCTGCAGTGGGAAAGGACCCCATTCTGTGCTAGCAGCATTTTGACCAGGGCCCCAGGATAAACATTTTAGTGTTATCTCTTCAAAAGCAATGTAAGCCTCGTTAGCTCATTGTCTAGTGGTTGGGTGACCAGTATGTTGCACATGCTTAGACTTCAATAGGCTGCATATTTGCTTTAAATGCAGCGGAGCAATTAGCACAAAGTCTTTTCCAAAGTTTCTCAGCAAAGTTTCTATAGCTTGTTACCGGCATAATATCGATTTGTTCCTTCATGACAAGAAGGCACCTCTGTGTGCCATGTGAAATCCAGGCCACTGATGTGTATTCACTGGGGACTTCTTTTTATTGTTGCTTGCTTTTTATATCCACCCTGACTCGTATGGGCTAACCCCCAGCCCCGCATGTTGTCGGAGGGGGGAGAGTGTAATGTGTCACTGTCATATCCAGCAAGGGCACTTGGCAGCATTTGCAGAACGAAGGAAAGTATTGAAATGGTTGACTGTGAGGTGCCAGTGATCCTTTTCAATAGCAAGATCCATTTCCCTTGGCTGAAGTTTTCCCCAGTCCCTTTTCCACACGTTGTCAGGAGAACCAGGAGATATTGCTGTCTTTTTCACTTATGTACCTTCCAGTTGTGTAACAATTACATTTTCTGTGCTGCTTAAAAGGATTGCATGTTGATGTCCTGATGCCCTCTTCTCCCCCCTCCCCCCAATCCACTATATATATATATATATATATATATATATATATATATATAGTAGCCTCTAGCGCTACTAGAAGGAAAGTTATAAAGCAAAATGTGTGGGCATCCTTCTACATTTCTGTGAGATCAGCCAAACTGGCTGCTCCTGTCTTTTCTGTCAGTGTTTTTTGCCAATGAGTAATGTCAGAACTTTGATTCATGACTGCGTTATTTGGAGAATCACTGTAGTCCCAAAAAGCAGCTGTTGTCCCCTCCACTTTAGTGCACTTCCCCTTCCTGCTTCTGTTTCATTTTCTAGTCCTTGGAATTGTTATAGTTCTAATCTAAAGACCCTAAATTTCCCCTTTGTTCTTTGTTTGTTCCTAACAAACCAAGATGCATCTTTCCTTTAGGATAAATGATTTATTTACACACACACACACCCCATAGCCTTGCACTCAAACAGACAGCAAGCTCCACACCCTGCCCCCCCTCCAGCTGAATCCCTCTTAACTCCAACCTGCTGCTTTAAACCCTCAGCTTTTATCCCCTGAGGGAGGGAGGAAGCCTTTTCCATGTGCCCTTTCCACACCTAGCCCCTTTGATGAACTTCCTAATTGTTTACCCCTCCTTCCAAGGAAACTTGCCAGAGTTAATTAGTGCCTAACTCATGTTGATTTCCTAGATTAAGGAGGGGGTCATAATTTGGGACGCTGACCTGACTTAATTAGCTTTCACTATGCCAATAGCATAGTGGACGCAGGTGGCGCTGTGGGTTAAACCACAGAGCCTAGGGCTTGCCGATCAGAAGGTCGGCGGTTCAAATCCCCGCGACGGGGTGAGCTCCCATTGCTCAGTCCCTGCTCCTGCCAACCTAGTAGTTCGAAAGCACGTCAAAGTGCAAGTAGATAAATAGGTACCGCTCCAGCGGGAAGGTAAACGGCGTTTCCATGCACTGGTTCTGGTTCGCCAGAAGCGGCTTAGTCATGCTGGCCACATGACCCGGAAGCTGTACACCAGCTCCCTTGGCCAATAAAGTGAGATGAGTGCCGCAACCCCAGAGTCGGTCACGACTGGACCTAATGGTCAGGGGTCCCTTTACCTTTACCTTATGCCAATAGCAGAGGCTTTTCCGTGGGGCCACCCCACCTTTGCTACACCCTAATACACACTTGGGTCTGCCTACAGTAGAGATGAGCCTGGCTATTCCCCAATTCTAACATCTCCGCCTTCATTCAGGGTGTCTTGCACCCACAGAATCATAACAATAAGGAACATTAACATTCTCATACAAACACCTGCAATCCCTGTACATTCAGAGACATGGAAAAACCCCAAATCTCAGCCCCAAGCCCATCCTTGCTCTTCCTTTCTGTTTCTCTTCTCCCGCCCACCATCCCTGTCTGCTCCAGGCCTGTGGTCTCTGGAATACAAGAGGGATCTGACCAACCCGCTCTGCATCTCGGCCATCCACGGACACACTGCCTGCCTTCGCCACCTGCTCTTCTGGCGAGCAGACCCAAACGCAGCTCCAGGAGGACGGAGCGCCCTGCATGAAGCCTGCCAGAGGGGCAACAGAGAATGCGCAGAGTTGCTCCTGGAACACAAGGCTAATCCCAATCTTCTGAGTGATGATGGGCAAGCACCTTTGCACCTGTGCACCAGCCAGAACACCTTAGGGTAAGGAGCAAGATGTTTGGGCAAGACTCTAGTCCTTCCACAGATTCATTCTGACATCTTTAATAATAATAATAATAATAATTTTTATTTATACCCCGCCCTCCCCAGCCAAGGCCGGGCTCAGAGCGGCTTACAAGCAATAATAAAAACAAGTTACATGATTGCAACTTAAAAACAAAATTAAAAATACAGCTTTAAAATATTGAAATATTAAAATGTAGCCTCATCGCAGGAGGAGAAGGAAAAGAAAAAAGACAGAGAGGGAGGGAATCAAATTGGCTCCAAGCCAAAGGCCAGGCGTAACAAGACCTAAGGGTCTTACAGGCCCTGCGGAAAGAAATCAGATCCTGCAGGGCCCTGGTCCCGTGAGGCAGAGCGTTCCACCAGACCAGAGCCTTTAGGCCTCAGAATTAGATTTAGGGATAAAACCTGTGTTTATTTCTTGGCTCCTTATTGTTTCGCATTAGCAAAGTGGCATACAAGACTGAAACCATGAAATTCAATAAAAACAAAGATAAAAATCAGCGAACAGAAAACAACACAATAAATAGTTTGAAGTAAACATATGAAAATACCTGCCTAAACAAAGATGTCTTGAGTAAGTGTTGGAAACCTAGTATTATCAGCACTGATTTGACATCGAAAGGAAGAGACTCCAGAGGGCTGGCACTGCAACACTAAAGGCCCTGCTCCAAGGGACCGGGGTGTAAATTCTGCCACCAATAGGGACATGTGCATGATCAGGAAGCAGGGCATTTCTTAAAATATAAAGTGCAGGGGAAATTCCCCACCCCACCCTGTCCTCTTGAATTCATTTGGCCCAGTAAACTCAAAACTCTCCTCAAAGTCTTTCCTTTTTATTGTGCTTGGACCTAGTTTACATTTGGGGAAAACAAAATGTGCCCGGGACCATGGCCCCCAATCCTCCCCCCTGCTACACCACTAAAGAATGCAGAGCATCTTCAGTCAGTCCCAAGCTCTTCTTTTTAAATGTATGCTTCTTATTTTAATTTGTGGTGCCTGTTGCTTTTATGCCGTTTTTAACTGTTGAGATGTTGCCTGCTGAGGATAAGGACTCTACTTACAATGGCAGCCCGACTCACTCACTCTTCTTTGAAGAAATTAGAAGGCTCATTGGCCTGATGAAGACATGGGAGCATGCTATAGCCTAGAGGCTTTTAACATATCTCTTTTGGGCAAGGAAGGGGCATTCTGCGCGTGTTCGTGCCCTTTATTTTTGAGACGCATAGTTCCAAATCATACCTGCCCCTGCTCAGATCTGTATGAAGATGATGGGGGTGACCTGGAGTAGTTGGTCCTCATGTACATTTTTCTTCTCTGGAAGCTAATTGGAAGGATTCTCATCTTTACCCTCTCCCTGCCCCACAAACCAGGCCACTAGGTGGTAGAGTGTTGAGATGGGACCATTTTCTAGAATTTCTTCGCACCTAGACTCTTATCTAAAATTGTGTGGCATACTTCCAAGGTAAAGGTAAAGGGACCCCTGACCATTAGGTCCAGTCGTGAATGACTCTGGGGTTGTGGCGCTCATCTCGCTTTATTGGCCGAGGGAGCCGGCGTACAGCTTCCAGGTCATGTGGCCAGCATGACTAAGCCGCTTCTGGCAAACCAGAGCAGCCCACAGAAACGCCGTTTACCTTCCCGCCGGAGCGGTACCTATTTATCTACTTGCACTTCGTGCTTTCGAACTGCTAGGTTGGCAGGAGCAGGGACCGAGCAACGGGAGCTCACCCCGTCATGGGGATTCGAACCGCCGACCTTCTGATTGGCAAGTCCTAGGCTCTGTGGTTTAACCCACAGCGCCACCTGCGTCCCGTGTGAGGGCGTGCTATTTTGCACCCAGGGCCGCTCCCCCTTGGCCCTCCCACACTATGCCACTGAGCGGGGGGCAGAATAATCTTTTTTTCCATAGTTCTGGAAATTTATGGGGTCCTTTGCCAGCACCTTTAACTGAAGAAGGAAGCACGTGAGCAGGGCAAATAATTTCTGAAGTGCCACAACCCTCACACTGAGTCTTTGCCAGCTGTCACCTTTCATTTTATTCATTTACTTTATTTCATTAAATTTGTACACTGCTTGATTGTAACAAAAACCGTCAAGGCAGTTAACAAAAAGATAAAACCAATTCACAACAACATTTCTAAGCCATTGTGTAGGGCCATAGCTTCTGGCATGGTGCAGAAACGTCTAAAATTTCTTTTGAAATTTTAATAAATATCATTTAAAAAAAAAAAAGAAACGTCTGGCAGAAATGTTACAACTCTCACCCCACTCAATGCAAACTGAAAGAATTGTGTCCCCACATAATCTTATAGTAGATGACACATGAGCAAGTATGACAACACAGATAGTTAATGCACAGCTAAACATAGCTCTGAATGGGATTGGCACAGCCTATTGTGATCCCGGCCTGCTGTTGTCCACTTTCTTTGAATCCAAGACAGAAGAAAACAGCCTGCTCCAAAGAGTTAGGCTGAGCAGAATTTTTTTAAAAAATAAATAAATTCAGAGTTCTGGCCATTTAAAATTAGATTTTAAATGCCATATTATTTTTTAGTTACAATAATTTATCATTAAAATACATGATTTGTGGCTGTTATGAGTTGTGGGTAGAGGGGTAGGCTGTACCCTTCTTATTCCTGGGTCTAGTAAGGGTTAAAATCTAAGCAACGATTCAGCTTCCTGGACTAGCCAGGCTAGCTTCTGGGGTGAGGTAATGGCCTAAGTAGGAGTCATTAACGTAACAAAGGAAGTGCCCCATCCCTCAACTCGCTGGTAGTTAGAAAGACAAAGACAGAGTTGAGAGTTGATTGTTGTGAGCCAGGAGTTGGAAGGTGGGCAGCTGAGAAACAGAGCTATGCCTGATTTCTGCTGTAATCCAAGGCTGTGGCTATGGGAGAAGCAAGTCCTTCTTGCATAGCTGTCAACTTTCCCCTTGTCTTGCGAGGAATCCTATTCGGAATAAGGGAATTTCCCTTAAAAAAGGGAAACGTTGACAGCTATGCCTTCTTGGGGTGTCAATGCTGACTCTGGTTGCATATATGTGTAAATAAACCATATACCCCTCATTCCAAAGGAAACACAAACCCTGGGGAAGGACCTGGAACCTCTGGAATCTCACGTTGCTCATGTGCAGCAGGCGAATTTATTTTAAAATGTGTGTGCTTATTTAAACTGAAGATTTAAAATTCCCTTTAGCTTGATTTTTAAGTGTCCTTTTGAGTTCACCAACCCCTCCAGGGAAAATGCTTAAAAAAAAAAAAAAAGCCCAGTCTCTGGGAGAACATAGGATGCCATGTTAAGTGTGTTCCTCCCCTCTCACCAGCCTGCCCCACCCACTTCCCTGACCCATTTAGGCAGCTCTGCTGGCGTATCTTTGCTGGTGGAATGGCTCTGCTGGCATGATTCCCTCTACCTGTGAGCTGAGGGAATTCTGTCAGTGCATTTGCCATGCTTAGTGATGTTTCTCACGTTGTGTCGATGTGACATAAATTTCTCAAGCCTCTCAGTCGGTATTGCTCCAGTACAGGCTTGCACCCTCAAACAGGCTAAATATTTCCTAGTAAGTGTTGTAGGATTTGTGATATTAATGCATGAAAATTGCTTAGAAGTGGTATGCCGTGTGTGTATGTATGTATGTAAAGGTAAAGGGACCCCTGACCGTTAGGTCCAGTCACGGACGACTCGGGGGTTGCTGCGCTCATCTCGCTCTATAGGCCGAGGGAGCCAGTGTACAACTTCCGGGTCATGTGGCCAGCATGACTAAGCCCCTTCTGGCGAACCAGAGCAGCACACGGAAACGCCGTTTACCTTCCCGCTGGAGCGGTACCTATTTATCTACTTGCACTTTGACGTGCTTTCGAACTGCAAGGTTGGCAGGAGCAGGGACCGATCAACGGGAGCTCACCCTGTCGCGGGGATTCAAACCGCCAACCTTCTGATCGGCAAGCCCTAGGCTCTGCGGTTTAGACCACAGCGCCACCCGCGTCCCTTGTATGTACGTATGTATGTATGTATGTATGAATAAATAAATAAATAAATAAATGAAAAGCTCACCATTAACTACCAGTAGGTATTATGACTGGTTGAAATTTTTCTTCTGCTGAGTGAAGTCAAGTAACCTACCACAATTCAACTAGAGATGTTTGCTTTGTTATGCTGCTGCAGGACTCCTATGTATCCCATACAACAGCACTAGCGCCAAAGAACTTCAGATCCAGATTTCTCAGATATTTTGTATTCTTGAGTCTCTCTGCACACCAAAAGGCGACTTAGGTCCGCTAGAGATTGGTGCTCCACATGTTAGCAAACAGGACAAATTAAAATACTGTCCTAGAAATGGAATGAATTCGGGCAGCTGATTTCTAGCAGAAGAGCTGGCAAAAGGAAACAGTTGATTTGCATTCTCACCCCTCACCCACCAAGGCATTTTGAGTTTAGATGCCAAGTTCCTTTTTAGAATGTAGTCACCTCACCTACTGTTGTTGCATCCTGTACCTTAAGGACATTTGAAGAAGTCTGGCCCGGACTTCTTGCTTTTGAAAAGTGCAGGGTGGACAGAATCCTGCATTCTATCTATGTTACTGGAGTTTTCCGCATGTCCCTATGTCTGTCCAGCTGTGACATCATATTTTATACAAATGCCAAGGGGGCAGCACTTGAACTGCCGCCCTATAAGCCACGCACATCACAGATGCAATGTTGAAAGAACGGAGCCAGCCCTAAGCCCTTGAATATTACGGCTTTATAATGGAAATGCTGCCAGAGCCTTCACTACAGCAGCACAACTGGATACCTCTACAATAACTAAGCCATCTACTTGGAAGGATCAAAAATTAACAGACATTTCAGATGGGATTCGACCACTGCTTCTCAATCGCAGAGAGTTGTGCTAAAGTTAGATAGTGAGGAGGTCAAGCTTTGGGTAACAAACATTTTCTCTTTGATTAGGGGAAACTACTTCTGCTGATTTTTTTCCCAGGTAACGGATTGAAGGTCATCCCTAATTTTTTACTGACAATAAAGAGCAGGTCATTGACCTACATAGGGAGCTATTTTATTTGGCTCCCTCTTTGTAACAATGGCCTGAACACCTATGTGTCAGGTTCTTCTGTGTTCCCATATTCACCATGGGGGCAGGACTTAAAACCTTTGAGCCTCTCAGTGACTGGGATAAAAAAAAACTATCTGGGCTTCCTTCCAACCATTTCAACTTTCACAATCCATGAGAATTCAACCAAAAAAAGGAAAAGAAAGATGTAGGAGCTTTAATCTAGAAGCTTTTTGAAGCGCCCCCCCTTTTTTTTTTAAAGTTCCAGCAAAGTTCATTTCTATCTTCTTCACTTTGGGAGCCATGCATGCCAACTTCGCCCTATTTAGTTGAGTTCCTCTCCTTGACCTTCTTTTTATAGTAGTGATAATTAACATGGTGGGGTAAGAGGAGTCTACAAATTCACTGCACTCCCTTTGCTAAAGCTGGGATGATTAAAAAAAAAGGAGAATCGTGCAGGCTTTTGTAGAAACTAGAATTGAGGAGGAGAAACCCGTCTTTGTTTCTATACTTTGGCCATGCCACAGGGTTAAAAATAAGATACAATACAAATACAGGGTCTCTGAGTCAGGGTTAAGTCCAAAAAGGGCACTCTCTTAACAAAACACCGGGGAAGCTGTCATAGGCTTTAGAGCAGAAGTATAAAAGTCAGAAGGAAAATTAATGGCCCGTTGATTTCATTCAGGTGGTGGTAAATGCAAGTATTTTGAAATGCGTGTGGTATTCCATGTCAATCTGAGCAGAAATCTCATTTGCAGACGACAATTGTGCCCTGTCCAGATAGCTGTCTTTTGAAAATTATGCTCTGGAACAGGCATAGGCAAACTCGGCCCTCCAGATGTTTTGGGACTACAACTCCCATCATCCCTAGCTAACAGGACCAGTGGTCAGGGATGATGGGAATTGTAGTCCCAAAACATCTGGAGGGCTGAGTTTGCCTATGCCTGCCCTGGAACATAAATTAACTATAGGTCTGATGTTGTACTAAACCTGTTCTTATTTTAACTTGTCCTAGCCAGCCACCTGCCCTCCAAAAACTGTTTTAGTACAAAAATAAATTATCTTATATTTATCTTATTACTACAACTGTAGGACCTCTTGAATGTGGAGAAAGGGGGGTGGCCTATTTCTTGAATAAACAGTGCTGACACATGGCAGGAAATGCCTTGCTTGAGTTGCTACAGAGTCTCAGTGTAGCTTGTGATGCTCAGCTCCTATGCCTGTTGAGTATAAGCAAGAAATGTTCAGTTTTTCCTATTTATTTATTTTCTAGCAGAAGCAGCAGCACAAAGTTAGGTGCCCATCTGTTGAGATTCCTGCATTGCAGGGGGTTGGACTAGATGGCCCTCGGGGTCCCTTCCAACTCTATGAGTCTTTGGTCCTATGAATAGCAGTACTCTTCTTTTTACATCTATGGCTGAAATCAGAAGCACATTTAGCAGGAAAAAAGGGTTCACTGAACTCAGTGAGACTTCCCTGAAAACATGCAGAGGCTCAGGCTGCAAGTTTTATTTTAAATACACCCTAGCCCCTCCTGGCCTTTCAACAGAGCAGGCTGAAATCCAGCGAGAGTGCCCCTGCCGCAATGGAGTATCTGTGTGCTAAGTTCTACATAGTTATGCTGACCATAACTATGGTGCAGACAAAAGACATTGCCCAAATATCAGATAGTTTCCTCCCAAGAGATGATCAAGTGTTCAAATAACAATGTAAAGTCCAGCAAATGCTACATTTCTGCAGCATTCTTTTGTAATTCCTCCTTCAGATGGTTGTTTACTGCCTGAATGATGAAGAGGCATCATCAGGAGTCAGGTTTGTTTTGTTGTGGTCTGCAGTCCATGGTTTATCTTATCACAGGCAGCAGATGCAGCGACGGAGGAAGCCGCTCGGGCACCTGCAACAGCGTGCCCAGGAGCGAGGCGACCTCTGGGGACCTCTGGAGTCTGCCTGCCTCCTCCCACTCAGCCGCCCTATAGCTGGGGGGAGGCAGTGGGTGAACCGTTTGGGCAGCATGCAGCCTGCGCACGCCCAAGCCACCGCTTCTCTCCCAAGAGAAACATGGAGCTTGGGCGTGCTGCAGGCCCTGCGGTGAGTGCTGACTGGCATTTTGTCACACCCCCCCTCAGTGGAGACACCCGGGGTGGCCCACACCCACTGCACCCCCCTTCCTCCGCCCCTGAGCAGATGAAGTGATAAATCTATTTCTGGGTGACACCAGGCTGCAAGCAAGGATTCACAGGACTGCATCTTCTTTGGGGGGGCTGCGTGGTTGTGAGCTTGGAGGGTTGAACAGGAGAAGGGGCTATTGGGGTTGGCATCACTGCAATGTTTTAAGCATCAGTGATAGAGTTGGCCAGACACAGTTTCTGTTTGGGAAATTAGAGGAAGAGAGAGAAGCATACAAATCTAGCAGATCAGGGAGAAGGCCGTGCTAGAACACTTTCCTCTGACATCTAGGCTTTGGTGTGAGGGAGTTTTTGGATTATTTAAATTTTTGTATGTGAGCCTTCTTTCTTACTGTTCCTGACTTACTTAATAGTTGGTGGGCACTCAGACCATGTCTCAGTTTCTGAACATTTGGCAAGTCTCTCTCTGGAAAGAGTTCTGGACGTGACTGTCCCACATGGGGACAAGGAGCCAGCAGTTGCCAGTCCGTGAGTGTGTGTACCTGAGGAGGCAGCCAGGAGTTATGGGGACAGAGCACCATTAATTCACTCTGCCTAAATCCCACATGTATAGATGATATTTCCACTATGCTAGGCATACAGTGCTGAAGGGGAAAGAATCCAGGATGGTCTGCCAGATCTCTTATATCCCAAATCTGTAAGTGTCTAGAAATAGCATATGCAGAGCAAACTTTCCGGTAAACAATGTCCTCCCCCACCTGCTCCGTTCCCGGTTCTCCCTCTCCTGCTGGCCGTGTTAGTGCATTCCATCCACGTCTGTTTTCAAGGCTATTTTTAGCTTAATAAGGTTGGTTACTTAAGATAAAACGGAAGGCGCCCCTTGCTGTTCAGGAGGCACCCTGCAGAGCCTCCGGGGAGCTCACCATCCAAGGCGGTGCATTCGCCTCTAGGCTTCTTTTTTATCACCACCTCTCCGTTAATTACGTGGAACAGCAGAAAAAGGGGTTCAAGAGGTGAATGCAGGGCTGGACCCTTTAGGGCTGCTGTGTGACAGTGAGTGTCTGCCAGCGAGTGAAGGAGGAGGCCAGGAGGCACAGTCAGCTGTCTGGTAGGACCAAAGGGCACCGTGGTGTGTCCATACACTTCTCAAATAATATACTTCTGTAGCAGGCACACACGCCGCTTTCCTTTACCTCAGCAGCCAGAACTGAGGATATATACCATTGCAAATATTTTAAGTAGACACCTTTGGGAGAAAGTCTAGTCCCATAGCCTTTATAAAATGCAATTTAACATTTCCCATAAAGCGGAAGTGAAGGGGAAGCTCTTATCAGAGAAACAAAGGATGAAAAACATCCCCCTTTGACCCCAAAAGTCAGGGTCTGCATGCACAGCCCTCCTCCACTCCAGCCCCAGACACTTGCAGTGCAATAACTACATTCAGTTCTGTCCTCATAAGTCTGTCATTTGCTTTGATTTCACCAGCAACAATAGGTTATGCCATGTTCCTAAAACAATTGCCTACACAGAGGTGTGAACGTGCTAAACAACATAGCAGTCTTTGATTCCTTGGCAGTTTATCTTCTTGTTGCCATCTGCTGCTACCAATAAAGGCCTACCTGAAAAGATACTAATGCAAATATTCACATAGTCATTTTCTTTTGCAATATCAGTTTCCTTGTAGCATCCTTTTTTTTACCTAATGAGGAGCTTTGTAGAATTAAAAACCTTGCAAATTTTCCTGCATCAGATTATCTTGAAAGGTACCATGCAATCTCTTATATGCCTGTCATTAAGACTACACCCTTGTCAGTCTATGTGTAAATGATGCCCCTCCCTTTGCCAGTGTTCCTCGACTTTACAAAATCTTTGGGTTAGGTAAGAGGATTGAAAAGGCTCCTTGGAGGGGCTTTGTTGCCAGCTCTTCTTCCACCTGCTGGAAGATTTGACCTTGCTGTGTGACTGTGCCAACCATTTCATGAGTAGCAATGTCAACATCTCAAAGCAAAGCAACAGTCATTTTGATTCATTTAGACTAGCTTATCACATTAATTTACTTGCACTAAAAACATTGCTGTGGACTGTTTTATCTCTAAGCCTCTTCTGTTTGTCAGAAGGTATTTTAAGCAGCGAATGTAAAATAATATTGTGAAGACAGAAGGTGTCCCACATCATTGTTCAAAGCTTTGTCACATTCTACTGCCTTAATGCTTTGGAAGTGATTCAGATCTGTGCATGCTTGCTCAGAAATAAATTCCACTGGTAAGTAGAACTTCCTTCCAAGTAAATATGTTTAGGAATGAGGCATTCATAAAGGAGGAGACCCCATACTACAGAAAAATGGATGTGCACTGTATATCCACCAGCCCAGCCCCCAGCTTCTACAAAAGGACTCTTAAACCCAGAACAGATTTTAGGCAAGTTCCATGTACGTACGTATGTATGCATTGATTGGTTGGTTGCACTAATATACCAAATTTTACCAAATGGTCCCAGGGCAGGTTGCAAAAATATAGTGTACTCATACTATCCGTCAACTCCAAGTACATGCATGGATCTCTGATTAATTTTTTATTCACCTGCAGAAAAGTTATGGGAGAAACTTGGGGTGGGGGGCTTTATCTACTAGGGTCTGTCTGTCTGGTGCCTGCATGAGCATGTGACTGGCAACAGGGAGGTGGGAGACCATGGCACAAGAATGGAAATAGTTCTCACAAAATGGCTCGCTGATTGCTGCTAGTTATGTGCTAGCTAACCCGATCCTTCAAGCAAATGGAAACTGCATAAAGAAATCTCTGCAGGTGTCATAGCCAGGGGGGCAGAGGAGGCCCCCCATAATCAAGTACAGTCGTACCTTGGTTTTCGAACAGCTTAGTTCTCGAACGTTTTGGCTCCTGAACATCGCAAACCCGGAAGTGACTGTTTCGGTTTGAGAACTATTTTTGGAAGCCAAACGTCCGACGGGACTTCCACAGCTTCCGATTGGCTGCAGCAGCTTCCTGCAGCGAATCAGAAGCCGCACTTTGGTTTCTGAACATTTTGGAAGTCGAATAGACTTCCGGAACAGATTCCGTTCACCTTCCAAGGTACGACTGTAAATAAATACAGATTCTTAACTAACTGACCCACCAACTGTGTCACAGATAGCTGGGTTCTGCCGCCATAACAGAATTTTTTTTGGGGGGGGGCATAAATCCTGGCTATGCCCATGTCTCTAACCCTTTTTGTTAATCCACAAAGGTCATTCATTTCTCTTCGTATTTGTCAAAACAGAGAGTGGATAGGTATTTACTATTGTATTAGCCATTGGCATTAGAGCTTTGCACCTGATGGAGGGCATTGCCAGGAATTTTTTTGGGGGGGGGCAGGTGTTTTCTTAATTGGGGGCAGAACCTCAGTTAACTATGTATTTTTATTGTTTTTTCTTGATGCCTCTCCCTGCCCCCCCCCTTGGCTACGCCCATGACCTGATGTGATATGTTAATAAATTCCACCACAGCATGCCATAAAGAAATAATGAATAAACTCCCTGCATGTGGGTATTTGCCAAAAGAAGTGACTACTAAAATTTGATTCCAAATTTTAAAAGGGGTGTATGCACACACACACACACACACACACACACACACACACTTCCCATTGTTGAGGACTCAGTTTAACACCATACAGTGGTGCCCCGCAAGACGAATGCCTCGCAAGACGGAAAAACCGCTAGACGAAAGGGTTTTCCGTTTTGGAGTTGCTTCGCAGGACGAATTCCCCTATGGGCATGCTTCGCAAGACGAAAATGTCTTGCGAGTCTTGAGATTTTTTTTCACCCCCCTTTATCTAAGCTGCTAAGCCTTTAATAGCCTTTAGCAGCTAATCCGCTAAGCCTTTAAGCCTTTAATAGCCGCTAAACCGCTAATAGCGCTAATCCGTTAAGCCGCTAATAGGGTTGCTTCGCAAGACGAAAAAACCGCTAGACGAAGACACTCGGGGAACGGATTAATTTCGTCTTGCGAGGCACCACTGTATTTGCATTTCTAGAAGATGAAAGCCCTATGCAGACATTCTGGAACTCTAGAAACTTTAGAACACTTGATTCCGGTTGGTGGGAGGAGCAATGCAGGGATGAATCACTGAAATGATTTCAGCTCAAGAACCTCTTGCACCCACATTAAAGCAGGTAAAAGATAACTAAAATCCACTGTAAGCAAAAGGAGATTCAAATGCATGTCAACATTCTGCATAGGCTTGTTTGTATTTTATATGGCTTTAAATTGTTTTTAATGCTGTAAGACACCATGGGAAAATAATGAATTTTGAGTGGCAGCTCATAATTTAAAAAAAAAAAAAAATCCTGTTTTGTAGGTGTGCTAAAGCTTTGGTGACCTTTGGTGCCCTGGTAAACCAGCCAAGTGAAGAATCCCAAGAAACACCTCTTCACATAGCAGCTAAGCATGGTCTTCCCGACCACACGCTCCTGTACCTGCGGTGCGGTGCTCTTGTGGACCAGAAGAACAGCCAGGAGGAGACAGCACTCAGTGTGGCTTGCAGAGAAGCAAAGAACAGGGAGAGCCAGGAGAGCTACTTGCAAGTATGTCAGCTGCTGCTGGAATATGGAGCAGAAGTCAACACTGTGGATGAAGAAGTGAAGACTCCGCTTCATAAAGCCTGCGGGAATGCTCATCACAGCTTGGTTGAGCTCCTGCTGCAGAGGAAAGCCGATGTCAACGCCATCGATTACAATGGGGCATATCCAATGTCCTGTGTCCTGCAGACTGCAGCTTTCAAGCAAGAGCAGAGGCCCCATCTCACAGTACAGACCCTGATAAACCACGGCTCTCAAAAACTGTGGCCCACAGCTTTCGTCAAGGTAAGTGAAATATACTCGGAGTCGAGAGTGGATTTCATGCTCTTTATTCAGCTCATAGAAGAAGAAGAAGAAGAGTTTGGATTTGATATCCCGCCTTTCACTCCCCTTCAGGAGTCTCAAAGTGGCTAACAATCTCCTTTCCCTTCCTCCCCCACAACAAACACTCTGTGAGGTGAGTGGGGCTGAGAGACTTCAAAGAAGTGTGACTGGCCCAAGGTCACCCAGCAGCTGCATGTGGAGGAGCGGAGACGCGAACCCGGTTCCCCAGATTACGAGACTACCGCTCTTAACCACTACACCACACTGGCTCTCATAGTGGTGAGGAGGAATGGAAGTTCCCCCAGAATGTCTGCTTTATATACATTATTTACACAATGGGCCCCACGTGATTGGCTAATTCCCGGATTCTCCTGTAGGCCAATCAGGTTGCGAATTCCCTTCCACCTGGAGCTGGAATGGGTGGCTTCTGTGGACCAATCAGACTCTTGCATTCTGGATCCTATTGTTCTAGGACCAATCAGACTGCTGCATTCTGAATCCTATTGTTCTAGGACCAATCAGACTGCTGCATTTTGGATCCTATTCAACTCAGTACATAACAGTAAGGAACTGTCTTTGTGTTTATTGGTGCCTTTACTTCAGCTTTGAAATTCTGCAACTCCCCTTCAGGAAGCAGAGCTTGTAGAAGACCCATCTGCAGCCATTCCTGGACTGGATGGATTGTTAACCCAGTGGATTACACCCTTCGTTGGTCTGCTGACTAGATGCAGGCTCTTTTACACACACTCAGCAGCTGGGGAGTTATTCTCACAATATTGGGGAGGGAACGTAAAAACAGCAGTCTAGCCATCAGAGCCTTTTCCAGCCAACAGGCAACTTTCCTCTATGCAGGATGCTGACAGGGAAAGACCTATGCAACCAGACCCACCTTTGCAAGAATTGCCAGGCATGGTCATTCAAAGGGAATTGGAGAAGTTTTTGATGCAGAACTGTAATAATCATCAGTGTTTATCATCAAAAGTGCTTTCCTGGTTTCAAAAGTTATCACAGGAGGATTCCACCATTTTGAGTTAGAATATCAGAGTTAGCTTGTTTTTCATATATTTGAAATGCAACTTGCTTATACCATAAAAACTAGGTGAAAGAAACCAAGTTGAACCAATTCAAACAGGTTCCAGAAAGTAGCAGGTTTAATCTACCAAGCTTTCACTAACTGGCATCATGTCAGTCTTGAGAGTTTGCATCTTGCTCTTCTAATCCTAATGGGCCCAGCGCTGGATGCTCACATTCTCAATCCCTAACCTGTGTTTCTAAGTTAAAAATGAGTGAATTAACTCTTCAAGGCCATGACTCCAGCCCCTTCAAGGGCTGTCATAATAACTCTTTTAATGATTTGGGAATCTCTGATCCAAAGGAGGTCAGCCCAGCTTGTTAAAGTCTATACAGGTAGTGTAGGAACTGTGAAGCATCTGTAGATTTGCCTTGCTTTGTAAGAACTATTTAAATAGTTTAAACAACCCTATTTGATTGAAATATGTGCAGTTCACATCTTGAGCAAAATTAACAATTTCCTTATTTCCCTCTACAAAAATACAAAAACACCCAAACTCTCCATAACTCAAATTTCGGGTTGAGAATAAGGAAGATATAAACTGGGCTTTTTAGTGGCTTGCAAAGTAATCTAGTTTGACCATGGCAGCAGCTACTTCACATGGAGGACAGGCCACATACTGGGAGTCAATGTACAAATACCATTGACCTGCAGCAGTCACAGTGCTTAACCCATACCTTTCCCTCTCCCTCCCTCCCTCTCCCCCTCTCTCTTGATCTCTGTATTTACTGCAATGATTTTTCCTCCACTAGGTGCTGAAATCTTGTGCTTCTGTGCCAGAGATTATTGAAATCCTTTATAATTCTTACCCTCATCTTCCCATCTCTGAAAAATGGCTGGAAGTCATCCCAAATGAAGAATTTCAGGTAACTGCTATACAAATTGTGTTGCTTATATTTGTTTATCTAATCCGGGTTTGATTTTGCAACTTTAGCAAATGGAGTAAAGCATAATCAGATTAACATGTGTCACACTACAGCCATAAAACTTCTTTTTATATAAAGTTTATTATTATTATTTCATTTTATAATGCATATAAAACAGAGAGAACCAATTATAACAACAGACAAAAGTGAAAAGATGGGTGGGGGAACGCTATAAAATAGGCACACGGAATGATTATAGTTGCACATAGGTTAAAGTAACAACGCCCAAGCAAAGGTTTATCAACATTATCAGATTATAAAGTATAGTTTCAGATTTTCCAGGCTTGCGATGAGCATTGCCTTGAACAGGCTTCCTCAAACTCGGCCCTCCAGATGTTTTGAGACTACAATTCCCATCATCCCTGACCACTGGTCCTGCTAGCTAGGGATCATGGGAGTTGTAGTCCCAAAACATCTGGAGGGCCGAGTTTGGGGAATGATGGTTCTGCTGCATATGTCATAAAAGAAACTTTCTATTTTGGGGATTCTATTTCTTGTCAAAATCTTAAATTAAGTTTAACTTTCTCCATTATACTGATATTGCCGAGTGAGCAGTACTGAACCAAGAATCCAGTGTAAGATTCTGGGCTGTTTTCCATTGAGTTGCAATAACTATTTGTGTTGCCAAAATAAGACCAATTCTTTTGTGCTGTTTTGTCTAGGATGTGTGCAATGTTGTTAATTGTTATTTATTTGTCTGTTTACATGGTTTATATACCGCCATTTAGCAGTGCTGCCAGGGCAATTTACAAAAACATGGCAAAACAGAAAAATACACATGGAATATAATAAATTACAACATATTGAAATAATAATACATTAAGAAGGCTGGGAGAAATGTTACCAAAAAAATGCCTGGTGCCCCACATATAGTAATGTTGGTAACAAGTTAGCTTCTCTATGGACAGAACTCCATAACTGGAGACTCTTGTTTTGAACTCTATGGAAAGAACAAGCAAGCCAGATACCTTTCTTAAAGTGCTGTGCCAGGGGCTGCACCCTTCCTGGAAGCCATAGTGCCAGCTGCCTAGTTCCATCCCAGTTCTAGTGGAGTCTCTCTCTTTTGAACAGGCCCGGCTTCTCCCAGAATGTTCCCCAGTACCTAACAAATCCAGATCCCTCTTCCCAACACCACCATTGACACATACCTGTACCTGTCTAGATGACCCTACATGTGGAACAGGTGGCATTTGGACTGGCGAGAGACAGTGTGGTGTAGTGGTTAGTGTGCTGGCCCCAGGAGATCAGGGTTCAAATCCCCACTCAGCCATGAAGCTCACTGGGTGATCTTGGGCCAGGCACTACCTTGCAGCCTTTCCTACCTCACAGGGTTGCTGTGAGGGTAAAACGAGAGCAGAGCACCATGCATTCCACCTTGAGCTCCCTGGAGAAAAAGGTGGGATATCAACTGAAGAAATAAAGACAGTAAAGAAAATCTCAGAAAACAGCTGCTTTGTAGGGCCTGCCAGTCAGCATCTTCCCAAGCAAGGTAGAGTTCACTTCCGGGAACTCCCAGCTCCTGAAGCCACTGGTGCCAGCATCACCCCTGACTCCTCCCCAGCACTATCTACCAGCCCATCTAGATGATGAGCAAGGTAAAGGGTGAAGGTAAAGGACCCCCGGACGGTTAAGTCCACTCAAATTTGACTCATCTCTACTTTCAGGCCAAGGGAGCCAGCATTTGTCCACAGACAGCTTTTCCAGGTCATGTGGCAAGCAGGACTAAACTGCTTCTGGAGCACAGAACACCATAACAAGTGCCAGAGCACACTTTTAAACTGCTAGGTTGGCAGGAGCTGGGACAGAGCAATGGGAGCTCACCCCATCACTCGGATTCGAACTACCAATCTTCCCATCAGCATGCCCAGGAGGTTCAGTTGTTTAGACCACAGCACCACCCACGTCCCTTATGATGAGCAACATCACCCTGCAATCTGCCGGCCCATCACACACCCAGCTCTCCTTGATCCTAATGATCAAATCACCCACTGCTAGGATCCCTCCAGCCCCTGATGGAAGCATCCTTAGCCCAAGAGGATCACTGGTCATCCCCCAAGGAATGGGTCCCTTCTAAACAGCTTAAAGGAATTGCATAGTCGTCTTCTCCTCTGGATTCATCTTTCCTGCCTGAGGACTTAACTGTCTAGGGGTCCTTTACCTTTACCTTTTACCTGTATGGAAGAAGAAGAGAAAGTTGCTGGTCTCCTCTTGGCTCCTCTCACTCACATTTTTAACCTGCTTATGGAGCTCTCTGGTTGTCTGAAACATTCCACTCATAGAATCATAGAATCATAGAGTTGGAAGAGACCACAAGGGCCATCGAGTCCAACCCCCTGCCAAGCAGGAAACACCATCAGAGCACTCCTGACATATGGTTGTCAAGCCTCTGCTTAAAGACCTCCAAAGAAGGAGACTCCACCACACTCCTTGGCAGCAAATTCCACTGTCGAACAGCTCTTACTGTCAGGAAGTTCTTCCTAATGTTTAGGTGGAATCTTCTTTCTTGTACTTTGGATCCATTGCTCCATGTCCGCTTCTCTGGAGCAGCAGAAAATAACCTTTCTCCCTCCTCTATGTGACATCCTTTTATATATTTGAACATGGCTATCATATCACCCCTTAACCTCCTCTTCTCCAGGCTAAACATGCCCAGCTCCCTTAGCCGTTCCTCATAAGGCATCGTTTCCAGGCCTTTGACCATTTTGGTTGCCCTCCTCTGGACACGTTCCAGTTTGTCAGTGTCCTTCTTGAACTGTGGTGCCCAGAACTGGACACAGTACTCCAGGTGAGGTCTGACCAGAGCAGAATACAGTGGCACTATTACTTCCCTTGATCTAGATGCTATACTCCTATTGATGCAGCCCAGAATTGCATTGGCTTTTTAGCTGCCGCATCACACTGTTGGCTCATGTCAAGTTTGTGGTCATCCAAGACTCCTAGATCCTTTTCACATGTACTGCTCTCAAGCCAGGTGTCACCCATCTTGTATTTGTGCCTCTCATTTTTTTGCCCAAGTGCAATACTTTACATTTCTCCCTGTTAAAATTCATCTTGTTTGTTTTGGCCCAGTTCTCTAATCTGTCAAGGTCGTTTTGAAGTGTGATCCTGTCCTCTGGGGTGTTAGCCACCCCTCCCAGTTTGGTGTCATCTGCAAATTTGATCAGGATGCCCTTGAGTCCATCATCCAAGTCATTGATAAAGATGTTGAATAAGACCGGGCCCAAGACAGAACCCTGTGGCACCCCACTAGTCACTCTTCTCCAGGATGAAGAGGAACCATTGATGAGCACCCTTTGGGTTCGGTCAGTCAGCCAGTTACAAATCCACTGAGTGGTAGCATAGTCAAGACCGCATTTTACCAGCTTCTTTACAAGAATATCATGGGGCACCTTGTCAAATGCCTTGCTGAAATCAAGGTAGGCTACATCCACTGCGTTCCCTTCATCTACCAGGCTTGTAATTCTGTCAAAAACGAGATCAGGTTAGTCTGACATGACTTATTTTTCAGAAATCCATGCTGACTATTGGTGATCACAGCATTCCTTTCTAGGTGCTCACAGACTGTTTGCTTAATGATCTGCTCCAGAATCTTCCCTGGTATTGATGTCAGACTGACTGGGCGGTAATTATTTGGGTCCTCTCTTTTCCCCTTTTTGAAAATAGGGACAACATTTGCCCTCCTCCAGTCTGCCGGGACTTCGCCTGTTCTCCAGGAATTCTCAAAGATGACTGCCAGTGGTTCTGAGATCACATCTGCCAGTTCTTTTAATACTCTTGGATGCAGTTCATCTGGCCCTGGAGACTTGAATACATCTAAACTAGCCAAGTATTCTTGTACTATCTCCTTAGTTATTCTGGGCTGTGTTTCCTCTGCTGAATCATTTGCTCCAAATTCTTCAGGTCGGGCATTGTTTTCTTTATCGGAGAAGACTGAGGCAAAGAAGGCATTGAGGAGTTCAGCCCTTTCTGTGTCCCCTGTTTGCATTTCACCATCTTCTCCTCTGAGTGACCCCACTGTTTCTTTGTTCTTCCTTTTGCTATGAACATACCCATAAAAGCCTTTTTGTTGCTTTTAACCTCTCTAGCAAGCCTGAGTTCATTCTGTGCTTTAGCTTTTCTGACTTTGTGTCTACACGTGCTGGCTATTTGTTTGAATTCCTCTTCGGTGGTTTCCCCCCTTTTCCATTTTTTGTACACATCCTTTTTTAATCTTAACTCAGTTAAAAGTTCTTTAGATAGCCACCCTGGCTTCTTTAGGCACCTTCCATGTTTCCATCTCATTGGTATTGCCTGACGTTGTGCTTTTACTATCTCCCTCTTAACAAACTCCCAGCCATCATGAACTCCCTTTCCTTTTAGTATTACTGTCCATGGGATCTCACCCAGCACTTCCCTAAGTTTTATGAAGTCGGCTTTCTTAAAGTCAAGAAATTGAGTCCTAGTATGCTTGGCTGCTCCTTTCCGCTGTATAGTAAACTTCAGAAGAGCATGATCACTCGCGCCTAATGATCCTTCCACTTCTACCCCACTAACCAGGTCATCAACATTGGTTAGGACCAGATCTAAAATGGCTGTTCCTCTTGTTGCTTCTCCCACTTTCTGGACAATGAAGTTGTCTGCAAGGCCAGTGAGGAATCTGTTTGACCTTATGCTCTTGGCTGAGTTTGACATCCAACAAATATCCGGGTAATTGAAGTCCCCATTACTACTATCTCCCTTCCTTTTGCATGCTTGGCCATCTGTTCCAGGAAGGCATCATCTATGTCCTCCGTTTGGCTTGGGGATCTATAGTAAACTCCCACAATGAGGTCACTGTTATTCTTCTCTCCTTAATTTTGACCCAAATGCTCTCACTTTGGCTTTGAGGTTCTAAATCTTGGATCTCTTCACAGGTATATACATCCCTGACATATAACGCCACTCCTCCTCCTTTCTTGTCTGGTCTGTTTCTCTGAAATAGATTGTATCCCTCCATTATTACATTCCAATCGTGGGACTTATCCCACCAGGTTTCAGTGATGCCTATTATGTCATATTTAGTTTGCTGTACCAAGAGCTCAAGCTCATCTTGTTTATTTCCCATGCTTTGCACATTAGTGTACAGACATTGAAGTCCATTAATCATTCCCCGTGTCTCTTATTAAGGAATTTTTCCTCCCACCACTAGGTCTGCGTGCTGTTTGCTCCATTTGGTCTATGACATTTGGATGATCATCTTCATCAATTGATAGACTCCTACCTTCAGGAGCACTGTCTCCCTCCCCCACATTAGTCAGTTTAAAGCCCTCCTGATGAGGTTTCTGAGATTTTGGCAAAAACATTCCTCCCAACCGTTGTGAGGTGCAGCCCATCGCTTGCCAGAAGTCCATCTTCAAGAAACTGCAGTCCGTGATCTAAGAATCCAAACCGTTCCTGCTTACACCATTTGCGAAGCCAGCTGTTCACTTCCACTATTTTTTTTTTACTCTTGTGTTCACTATTTATTTTTTTACTCTTGTGTTCAAAGGCTGTAATCCTAAATACACTTATCACAGGGACTTACATCCAGTCTGAATAAGCATGCATTGCCGCCAGAGCATTTTACCTTGTGGTACCTATATTTTCTTTTTACTCTACAATCCCATCTGAGAATGTTTTCCCACCACCACCCTGACCCAATTTCCTCCCAAATTTTCCTTTTAGGTGCTGTAATCTCATCTAAGGCCAAGAGAATTTCCTTTAAACTGAACATTGATTAGGAGTTTGGGGGTAAATTTCATAATCCACTGTGTGAGAGTAGTGCTTTGTAAATAGCACCTGAACCTTTAATTATCTAATTATTTTGGGATGGTCTCCTCCAGGGCATTACAAAGAAAGCTTTCCTGAGCTGTCAGTGCTTTAGCAAGTGAGTGGGGAGTAAAACAATGTATTGTTTCACTCTCTTCAAAATACAGAGTAACAGGATGACTCAGGGCAGCCTTGGCAGCATCAGATTTCTTTAGAGGACTTTGTGCTGAAGATTTATAGGCTGTGTGTGTGTGACAACCATCTATTCAATCGATCAATCAAATACCTTTATTGGCATCACAGTGTAAAATGTTTCAAGTAACTGGAATAATTAAAAAAACAAGGGTGAAGCTATCGAGGGTTATAAGGTTATAAGGGTTATAGTCGTGTGCATTTGGATATTCTGCTATGCCCTGTCTATTTCCCGAAAGGATAGTTGGTTGGGAACCCTGTCGGGTAAAATTGTGGCTAAAAAGGAAGCTACTAAAGCAGTAATATCTTTGTCCTGATCTGCCGGGAGAAACCTTATTTGGCTTCTTCTCAGAGTTTTGGGCCGGAGGTCCAACATTTTGCTCAGCATCAGTTGGCGAGGTCTGCTGTGTAAAGGGCAATCTAAGAGAATGTGGTCCATTGAATCTAAATTAGCTAGTTACATTTTAAATGACTGAGTGGAGTTTTGGGTTTCAGAGAATGTGCAAAGTTCCTTCCAGGAGAGAGGTTCAGAGAGAGAGGTTCATTCTTAATCTTGTTGAATGATTCCAAGAGATGAAATACGAGGTGAAGCTTCACCTCTTTATGGAAATTCAGGAGAAGTGTACAGGGGTGTCGACAGATTGTTTGTCTCAGTGGTCTAGATGACCAATCAGATATTTATTTAGTGACCTCTTCAGTGATTCTGCACTTATATTACAAAAGAACCAGCCAGTTCAACCTGAGGATGTATAATGGAAAATAAAATTATAAAGCCCAGGATATACCTATAGGGGTCATAGGGGTGCAGTATCAAAGACCCTCAAGAGGGAACTGTTCAGAATATAGGCATTTGTAATATAGTCATACCTTAGGCTACAGCCGCTTCAGGTTGTGTTTTTTCAGGTTACGCACCTGCCGAAACCCGGAAGTACCCGAACGGGTTACTTCTGGGTTTCGGCAGTCGCACATGCACAAAAGAGCCGAATCGCAACCCTGTGCATGCGCATACGCGCCGCTGTGGGTTGCGAACGCTGCAAGTTGTGAATGTGCATCCCGCACGGATCACGTTTGCAACCCGAACATCCACTGTAATGCTGTTGTTCTGTCACAGGATTATGTTGATTTTGTTGCATAATTTATTAAACGTGTTGCACTGAGATTTATGTTTTTAATCGTTTTGAATATGATTGTTTTTATCTGCTGGTTGCGGGAGACTCATATAAGAAACTGTATCTAGAGAAAGTGAGCGGATGGCCAAGTCGTACAAATCACTGCCACTTTCACAAAAATGCGGTGACTGCTGTATTTTTTTCATTCTTTCTCAAGATAATTATGCTGCTGGTCCTAATCATCAGCTGACAAATACCTCATATTACTATTACTAACTCTGGTTAAATCATCTTTTTTTTCTTGCCTCAGTAACGGACTGGATGAGAGTCAACAAACTGAAACTCAATCCAGATAAGATGAAGGCCCTGTTAGTGGGGGGTTCCCTGTTAGCAGAAGGCTGGGAGGTGGCTTGCTCCTGATGGGCTGCACTCCCTCTGAAGGAGCAGGTACATAGCACGGGAGTCCTCCTGGATCCTTTGCTGTCACTTGAGGCTCAGGTGGCCTCGGTGGCGCAGAGTGCCTCCCATCAGCTTGGGCTGCCCCCCTATCTGGACAGGGACAGCCCGACTTCTGTCATCTATGCTCTGGTAACCTCTAGGTTAGATTACTGCAATGCAGTATATGTGGGGCTGCCTCTGAAGATGCTTCAGAAACTTCAGCTGGTGCAGAATTCGATGACCAGGTTGCTCACAGAAGCAAGACGGTTTGAGCATCTTACACTGATCCTGGCCCAACTGCACTGGCTGCCAATTATTTTCCAGGCCCAATTCAAAGTGCTAGTTTTGACCTATAAAGCCTTTAACAGCTCAGGACCACAATACCTCAAGAACCGCCTCTCCCCATATAATCTGTTCTGGACTCTGAGGCCCTTCTTCATGTTCCTCCTCCTCAAGAGATCCGGAGGGTGGCAGCACAAGAATTGGTCTGCTCTGTGGTGGCTCCTCATTTGTGGAATGCTCTCCCCTGGGAAGTTCGCCTGGTGCCTTCATTACAGTGGTACCTCAGGTTACAGACGCTTTAGGTTACAGACTCCGCTAACCCAGAAATAGTGCTTCAGGCTAAGAACTTTGCTTCAGGATGAGAACAAAAATTGTGCTCCAGCGGCGCAGTGGCAGCAGGAGGCCCCATCAGCTAAAGTGGTGCTTCAGGTTAAGAACAGTTTCAGGTTAAGAACAGACCTCTGGAACGAATTAAGTACTTAACCTGAGGTACCACTGTATATACTTTTAGACACCAGGGGAAAATGTTTATCTTCAACCAAGCCTTTGGCTGATTAATATTTTATGGCCTTTTAAATGTGTTTGTGAGAGGGGGGTTACTGGTTTCTCTTTGTTTTTGTTTTATTATGAATTTTGCCTTCTCATTTTGAATTTTTATGCCATGAACCACCCCGTGATCTTTGGATGCAGTGCAGTATAGAAATCTAATAATTAAATAAATAAATTCCAGGTGGCCACATCTTGCAAACTGTTCTTTCTCTTTCAGAGGCATCTATCTTTCTATGAGTCCTTCCAGAATCAGATGTACAAGGTCCGGTGTCTGCAACATTTATGCCGCTGTGCCATCAGGAGAAAATTTGGCAGTAGGTGCCATTTTCTCATCCCTTTACTGCCTGTTCCCAAACCACTACAAAATTATCTACTGTTAGAACCTGAGGGAGTCTTGCTTTGAATATCTTGTCCCAAGCCACCAAATCTCACCATCATATCTTGGTCCTCATTGGCGCATGATAAATGAATTGCTTATGAATACAGTAAAGTTTTTTTCCTGTTTTCTAACAAATAAGTGTTTTCAGGGGTTTACATTAATATAACAATAGATTATTACAATGACTTGAAGCTTTTATTTGTATACCATTTCTGTAAAATGTACTTTGGAAATCTTTTGATGCAGTTTTGTTTGTGGCCTCACAGATTTTAGTGATCTGTTAATACAATATAAATAGCACAAATAATACATAGTAACAAGAATAGAGGCTTTGGAACATTTAGGTAAATAAAATTTCATACTCAAGTGCTGAACTCTAGTAAAATGTCATTTTTTTTCAATAATGTTTTTCTTTTCCAAAATAATAGTAATTGATGACTGAATTCCGAATTAACAAACTATTGATAAAGAGCTAATAAAATGTGAAGGAACAGCTTGTAATGGTAATGTTGTCATAATCTTTAATTTAAAAAATGTAATTTAGAAATAAGCATCTCTGTTTATTACTGTGGTGTTTTTTTACCAAAGGAATACAAATGGAATCCTGGTTTCAAAGCAGCCTCCTGACTTCCCGAAAGCTGAAAGCAGCAGCTAGGAGATTTCCAAAGCATGGCCTTTCCAAGGACCTCTGTTATTTTTCCACCTCTCTCTCGCTGCTTCCCAAATAATTCTGCCTGTGTCCTCTATACAGAGCGCGGGTCATGTGGTGATATTCAGCTAAGTACTACTTGGAGTTGAACGGTTTTAAATTAATGAGCATGGCTAAATTAGGTCTGTTAATTTCCACAGGCCTACTCTGAGTAAAACTTAGCTGATGAAATCCTGTGCAAAATGCACATGAAACCTAAAGGTAAAGGGACCCCTGACCATTAGGTCCAGTTGTGACCAACTCTAGGGTTGTGGCGCTCATCTCACTTTATTGGCCAAGGGAGCCGGCGTACAGCTTCTGGGTCATGTGGCCAGCATGACTAAGCTGCTTCTGGTGAACCAGAGCAGCACACAGAAACGCCGTTTACCTTCCCGCCGGAGTGGTACCTATTTATCTACTTGCACTTTGATGTGCTTTCGAACTGCTAGGTTGGCTCACCCCATCGCGGGGATTCGAACCGCCGACCCTCTGATCTGCAAGTCCCAGGCTCTGTGGTTTAACCCACAGCGCCACCCGCATCCCTTCATGAAACCTAAGCAGGCAGCATATTGGGCTGAAAGCTCCAGCAGCAAGCCAGGGAGGGAGGAAATGTCTGAGTCCGGCTCAGGAGTTCCAAAGCTGAAATGGGGGGCTGTGCTGTTTAGAAGCAAAGAAGGGCAGAGAATAAATTAACAACTAAATGGCAAGTGCTTATATTCTAGGAGAGGACACCAGATTCCAAGATCCCATCACCACCACCACCACCACCACTGCTAGCATGACATCCAAGGAAAAGTCCCCATTAGCACTGGTTGCCAATTTGCTTCCTTTTTTATATTTACTTATTTATATACATGTTTATTCAAAAATTACAATATGGCTTTGTCCACTGCCATATCACAGAATCATCTCTCCAGTCCTCAATTCCATATCACTGTCATGTTGGCTCGCTGCCAAATATCTTCAATAGGCCAAATAGCCAGTTTGCTTTCTGAACTAATTCAGAATATTGGTCTTTCAAAAGGGCTGCAAACATTCTTTGTTTCCAGGGTGTCTTAATAATTGCCTTTTTCTTATGAGAACTGCTCAGGAGTTTCGCTCAACATCAGATTGATTGTTCCTAAGAGACTACAATATGAAAACACTGAAATAAAATACTCCAAGTAGTTCAATGCTATCACTTGTGGACTGAACTGAGATAAAGGCTCGTGAGTGTTCATATGTGTTAATTGGCTTACCAATGCCATGAGATATGTGCTATCAACAACCATGGTTAATCCAGTGTAGGGTAAGGTGGCATCTGCTAGTACAATGGGGCTTCTCCATACTCCCTCCATCCCCCCAAATCTGTTCCAGAGGAATGGGAGCCCTCTGGACAGATTTGGAGGATCCAGGCTCTTGAGGGGAGAAGCCAGTAGTTCTGTTGTACTAGCAGTACATTATTCCTTTTGTGCAAGTGGGCAGACATAACTGGACCTAACCCATAATTATCATTGTCTGTACTTTGCAGCATCTCATTTCCCTCTTACCTCACTGCTTACAATTTCACCCTGCAAAACCGTGTGTGTGTGTGTGTGTGTGTGTGTGTGCACACACACCTATTACTCGGGCAATACCTCTTGCCTCTGATGACAAGGACTGTAGTGCAAGGAAACTTATGCCATAATAAATTAGTTAGTCTTTAAGCTGGCAGAAGACCCTTTAGAATAGCCAGCCAACATTTCCCTGTATTTCAGTGGAGGTTTTAAAAGTTTCCCCTGAAAACCGGAAAAGAAAATAGAAAGTTGTTCTTTTTGTATTTTCATCTATACTGTATATTTAGCATAGGTAAAATATTTCAACTATACTTACCGGTATGTGACATGGGTTCTGACCCTCTTTAGAGATACCCTAGTGTATCTGAATAAAAAAAGAGGGTACCATATGAATAGCACAGATGTTGACAAACTTTGCATAGCCAAGCTACACACACACACACACACACACACACACACAATTAAGATGAAAGGAAGACAGCGGGCTGCATAAAAGGAAGGAGAACAAAGGAAAGGAGGTGGGGCAGTCCCACATGGATTCTCAGCCTTGTTCCAGAGCCCCAGAGGAGACAACCTAGGAAGCCAAAAAGCCACACTGACCTGCAGGACCTGTCAATCAAAGAAAGAAGGAATCCAGCTGCCTGCATCATACTGATGAGAAGGTAAAAGAACAACTCTTCCTTATCATACTAAAGATCCACACAGAGCTCCTTTTTAAGACCCCCAAAAGCAAATGCAGCCCACCCAACTTAAATGTGTAATCCTAATAAATTTTAATTTGAAAACTCCTTTCATACTACCTACTTCATATGTGCAGCTCTGCCCCCTCTGCAAAAAAAAAAACTTACAAAAGCAGACTTGATTTGTGAAATAGAATTTGTTACAATTTGGAAATTTCGGGATTATAAAACTCTGGGGTCTTTCCCCAGCTCTTCACAGTATTCTTCTCCCCACCCTGGTGCCTCCCCATTCATCATCAGATTGGCAGCAAAATTATTTATTGCAGAATATTCCAGATCTGTGGGAAGGGAAAATCAGATTATTGTGCCGTATTGCAGACCACGTGGGAAAATGATGCAAAGCACATTTTCTAGGTCTGCTTCCGAATGCTGAGAATAAGCAAAATACCATCATCTCTGCTGCACTGGATGCCAGTTTGATGAAAGCTTCTGTTTTATTCCAGCTAAAATTACATTCCCTAAATATTATTCCTGAACAAAATGGCTTCAAAATTGCTGTTAGTAATTTTAAAAATAAATGAAACCAAATTATTTCTAGAATAAAATCCTAAACACAAACAGAAATAACAGATCTCTCTACACCATTTGTCATGGATAGGTGAGATTCCCACATCTCTGGTTGAGATTCCAGGTTCCTTCACCAACTCCACAATTCTCGGCTTCTACACTTAAAATAGCATTTCCTTGGTTTCCTCTAAAATGATAACACCCAGTCTTCTTCCTTGTAGGGCACTCAAAATACCCTTCCATCTTCCAACATTTTTAACTAACAGACTTAATTTGTATTCAAAACAGAAAGACAGGCAGCTGTACATCACATTAAAATACTTTTATTTCACAAAATATGGCTCTTAGTCTGAGTTTTAATTAACTTGCTGAAAGTTTAATTAATTTGCTACAATTAACAGAATTTTTTGTTCTTTGCTGTACAGCACACACAAATTCATTTTTCCCACCTGTAAAAAATACAACCCTTCTCTTTTTTGTTGACCACCTTGTTTACCTTGACTGTACTCAAATTTTCAAATTATTAATCTTTTCAGAAAAACTGAAGAAATGTGCTTTATTACATGAGATTAATCTACATGCCATAGCTATAGTCTAGTTAATGGAAAACACGTGAGAAGTATATGCATATGCCAGGTTTCTATGCCCATATATTTTTAAATACTTAACTGATGTGAAATCTTCAAAATTTAATACAATGGTTATTTTAATTGGGCTTATTATAGGCCTGAAGGAAACACCCTTTAGGATATCCCACCTCCTAATTGGAGCATAGTGGCAATTGGTTATTGCTGTTTTAAATGAATTGGTTTAATTCTGCATGAATTGCAGTCGCAAAAACATTTTGCAGAGCTTCTCAGTCATCATTTTGTTATCAGTGGATAGCACCATATATAACCCTGACAAGTAGCATAATGGTTCCTTCACATTCTCGTCTACATATATCTTTTGCATACCCCAATTTATATAACTCTTCAAATTACCATTATATTATTGTGGCAATAAATTAATTAACAGGATATAAATCAACATTATACAGATGCCACTTAAGAAGATGACCATAGGCATTAGGCCCAATTCATACTTAAGCACATCAAATTTGCTCAGTTTTCAAAATATCCTATGTAATTTCATTGCTTCACGTGCTGCAAATTGGAACATGGACAGGGTTTTTGGAGTTTCTTGGCTTCACAAAATTAAAAACCAGCCTGATTAACATCATACAGCCTGAAAGTAAACATGCATAAGAAGTAAATCTCCACTATATAAATGAGGTTTACTCCCAAGTAAGTATGCATATAACTGCCGCCTTCAGTCATGTTCCTCCTCAGTCACAAAAATAAGATATAAGTTTGGACAAAGGCATATGTTTAATATTTGCCATATCTGTATTATATAGTTCTATGGCCTGATTAAGGTACAATGAACGATTCTGTAGAGGAAGGGAAGCAGCTGTGAACTGAATTAAAGCACACATGCATTTATAAAAGGAAGACCGTGTGGCCATCTACCCTGTACTTTGGGGAGGGCAGGTCAGGACACAGAGAAAACAGTGAGGCAAGGTTTTGGTGCAATGTGGTCCAGAGTGTCTCCACGTGCCACTCCCACTTCCTGGATGGCCTGCTAGATGCCTCACCACATAGGGAAATTATTAGCGTTAGTATTATTAAGTTCATTTCTATACTGCTTTATAGTTTTAAGAAAAAAACCTCAAAGCAGTTTACATTAAAACATCAAATAAAACAATTCAGAATAATTTTTTTTTTTAAATCAAATATAAAGTATTAATAAATACAAATAAATTTTTATTTGTACCCCGCCCTCCCCGGTCGGAGCTGGGCTCAGGGAAGCTAGGATCATAAAACTAACACAGTATACAAAGAACACTGAACACACTATACA